TGTATTTATTAAAGTCATGAATTATTAACTGTTAACCATAGTGCTGAGGTTTATGTGACTGTTCGATCATCAGTGTGTATACTGTATGCTGGAAAGTCAAACATATTACAGACCTATTTAGGGTCTATATTACAATGCTAAATAGTAGAATTACTGTTATGTCCATTTCTTCCCTCCCATCAAACGGATCAAAAATACAAAGGACAGCTGCAGCCAACAGCATTAGAATGGTTAAAAAAACCTTTAATTGTCAAATATTTTGCACAATTTGAACACAAAGTGGCAAAATATTGTTATAGTTCAATTGATTATATCTATACATATAAATAAAATTGGAGTGTCTGTATGTAATATTGAAATAGGCGTTTTTTACTACATGCATATGAATATAAATACAGTATATACACCAACATTTTTTATAATTTTTGTCTGTCTGTCTGTTTGTTTGTCCCGGCTAATCTCTGAAATGGTTTGACCGATATTGACGGGACTTTTTTTGTCAGGTAGCTGATGTAATAAGGAGTAACTTAGGCTTTTATTATAATAAAAAAAAATATTATAAAAATAAAGTTAAATTCCACGCGGACGTCACGGGAACATCTAGTCAAAACATAAAGCAAAAATTTTGTAACTGTTTACGAAAATTGCGCGAAATGAAGAGTATGGAATTTCTCAAACTTCTAGAAGATACAGAGAAGGAGTGTAAAATAGTATTTTTTTTTTTTATTTATACACAAAAAGATTTTCAATAAATAAAACAAACATTACACACATTAACTACCATATTTATCTATTCTTAAAATCTGTGGTCAAATTGAGAATAGATTCATATTGTTAGTTTTTAATACTTTCTTATATATTTATTTGTCTATAGTCTTAGTGAATGTTGAATTAATTATGATCGAATTTCGACCACTGGTATGTATCATATAATTGCTTATGTAACTGTAAAATTAACTAAACTAAACTTATATGAAAGTGTAGTGTACACATAACATCTTTTTGCGTATCTTGAGCTCTATACATGTCTGACCTAGTTCGAAGATTGCTGATAACACAAATCAAACTCCAAAGTAATAGATAATTAATATAAACCTATCATATTTCTTATTAATATTATAAACATGGACGATTGTGAGAGCGGATGGATGTATAGATGTATACTCTTTAACACAAGCACTACTGTATGGATTTTAATGAAACATTACAATAATATAGGTTATTCACAGTAATACATATTATAAATTTCACGCGTCTAAAACCGCGGGAACAGCTTGTATGTAATAAAATCCATGTATTAGTTATAAACAAATAATTATTACCATTATAAAAACTATAAGAATATGTTGCCACACAATTCATTACATTTAGATTGAAATAAAAAAATATTTAATTTAAATTTCTACTGTTCTAAAAAACTAGGCCCCGGCGAGATTCGAACTCACGATCTCCTGTTTACTAGACAGGCGCTTTAACCAACTAAGCCACGGCGCCGACGTTGCATAATAACGAAATTTACCTTCACTACTAGTTTGTCAATGCAATGAACTAACAAATATTTTTCAGATAAGAATTCAAATTCAAATAAATACTTTATTTGTGAAGTACAGGTTACAAAGATCTTAAGAAATAGATAGAAGTTTCACTGTCTTCTGCAATTACGCGTACAAATCTTCGTCATCGAGAAATTCATTTATGCTATAATAATTCTTGTCTAATAAATATTTCTTCAAAATACAGTGGAGCCCCGGTTATCCGACAAACGTTTTGCAGGGCAGTGTCGGACCATCGTATTTGTCGGATTATAGAGTGCTGCGTAAGGCTCCCCTACTATTTTTTTGTTTTTTTTTTTTTTTTTTTTTATATTTAAATAGTCCGGAATTATCTTGTAATCCGACAAATTACAGATCCAGTGATAAGATTCTGTTATATATGTATGTATGTATATGCACTCTGAGGTATATTGTCAAAACAATAATAAATAATAGACAATGTCGGATTACAAGGGGGACCGGATTAGACAGGGGCCGGATTACCGCGGGTCCACTGTAAATTTAAAATGTCTAAGTCTGCGCATTTTTTAGTTTACTAGCTAAGAGCGCGACTTCGTTCCCGTGCGTTATGGTATTCGATATAATAATAACCCAGGACTATCTTCACATAATGTTATCTATTCTCAAGCTTCGCAGAGCTTGTGTTATGAGAACTAGACAACTGATTTTAATACTTGAATATTTTTATGTGCAAGTACGTATATAATATACATAGAAAACATCCAGAGCGATACAAACAATCATACTCATGAATACAATTGTTTGCGCCGAGAAATCGAAACCATCGGAAGTAAGTCAGTGTGTTAAACCATTAAACTAAATATCACAGTCAAATAATAGCAATAGTTGATAGTTTCTTTTTTGTTCGAAAACTAATTGGAATAAATAAAAATCATTTCAAGAGACAAGAGAGAATTTTTACGAAATAATACTGTTGGCAGCTGGCCTTTACAGCTTCACCGGACGAAAGAGAATATTGCAGATGGCACTGCACTTACCATAAAACATTAATCATAGCAACGCGATTAAACTGTTTTTAAGATAACTCACATAGAGGAACAGACAAAAAAATGTAACAAAAATTGTTTAGGGTTCTATTCCGTCTATAAACACCGCCGATAATGGTATTTTTTGTATAACTTTGATGACCAGACAACAGTTACGTTTTTATTATATGTATACTAGCAGATCCGCCCTCTAATAGCTGTGGCTAAGGTTCTTAAATAAAAGAATATTGCGACTATAAATTGAGATGTAAGCTGTCCTATCTTACAATTTAGATCAAATTGCACACAATGTTCAAATCAAATTCGGTTCATTAGTTTAGGAGTCTATCGCGGACAAACAACATGACACGTAATTTTTATATATAAACATATATGTAGATAAGCACTTTTCCTAATATATACTGCAATGCTGTTGGCCGCAACTAGCGTTTACAATTTCATCGAACGAGTAACTGATAAGTTGTATGATAAGATTTTAATTCAATTATACTGATATAGTAATAATAGTTATATATTATTAATCCATACTAAAAGTATAAATTAAAGTGTGTCTGAGTGAATGACTTTTATAGTTATCATTCTAGCTTCATTCAACAAACGTGGAACAAAAATACAAAGGACAGCTGCAGCCAACAACATTAGAATGGTTAGAAAATTCATGTTCAGATATTTTGCATAATTTGAAACCAAAACTGACAAAATTAATGATTCAGAATGAATGTCTTTTATAGTCATCATTCTAGCTTCAAAAATAACGAATTAATGAATTTTCAAACAAACTTTCATCCCCTATTTTATTATATCAGGGGATAAAATAAAATAAGGATATTACTTTTATAAACTTTAAATGTCATATTTCTTTATATTATTGTTTAATCTACAGATAAAAATTAGTTTCAAGCTTCTGTCTTTAAAAATGACGATACTTCCATACAACCTTTTATCTCCCGGTACAACCCCTTACAACCCTTTTTCACATAACCCTTTTTTCAAGTAACCTATGTTCTTACTCAGGTTCTAGACTATCTGTGTACCAAATTTCATTTAATGGCCTCAGTAGTTTTGGCTTGAAAGCGAGACAAACAGACAGACAGAGTCACTTTCGCATTTATAATATTAGTAAGTATAATAGAAATAGATTCATATATTCCAGAAAAAAAACAATCATAATTGAATTACGCGGTACACAATGAATTATTTATTAGAAATCGCTACGCCAGAAAAACTGTTTGAATAAATGAATACAACGGTAGACATTTCAATTTACGCCCCTGGATGGATGGGAGTTCATGAATTTTTTCATGTAAACTACGCCCAGCCTAAGTTGAACCACTCTTTATGTAATATAATAGGGGTTAAAGTATGAAATTGTCGTTCTATAGTAATACTTTGAATTGACATAAAATCTTCATGGTGTGATATTTTCGAGTGAAACTTTTTTCACATGATACATATGAGATTTTTATTTTAAGACAAATACGAAAAACATCTGAATGATGCATATTTACAACATTGAATTTTCATCTTTCAGTTATTTTTCTAATTCATCCTAGACGAAAATGCCTCGGCACTTTGAAAACGAATTTCGACGCGAAACTAACACTGTAGAAACGGCTCTATTCAATAAATAATAAATAGAGGAAATAATATTCAATGTTTATTATTTTCTCTATTTATTCCATTTTAATTATTAGTAAAAATAAATACCAAATTTCGATTAAAACCGGTTAATTACTATTGACTTTAATAAGTCAATAGTAATTAACCGGTTTTAATATAATAATTAAAAGTTTAACATAATAATTTATGTTTTGACAATTAATAAAAAAATATGTATGTTTTTTACATAGAGTTTCATTTTATACTTAAATTTACATGAATAATAATATCTTAGGACAATTCACACAGCGCTATCTAATCCCAACGTAAGCAAAGCTTGTATTATGGGCACTAGACAGGTGATATAAATGCATAAATACATTTTTTCTAAATACATACATATTATACATAGAAAACACCCAGACCTATTCAAATAATCATACTCATAAATACAAATGTTTATGTACCGTGCAAGAAATCGAACCCGCGACATCGGACGTAAAGCGGTGCGTAAAACCGGTAGACAACCGATATCGTGAAAATGGACTCGTACATAATTATTATTAGAATAGGAATTATGTTATAAAAAGTTAATGTTAAGTATTCATATATATATATAAAGTAGCTACTCATCCCGGCTTCGCACGGGTGTACATGTATAATTCCTTCATCTTTAAAATCCGTTGCGTAGTTTTAAAGATTTAAGCATACATAGGGACGGATAGATACAGTGACTTTATTTTGTACTATGTAGTGATATGTATAACTATAGTATATGTCATTTTTTCTACTATGGTTCTAATTATGATGTTTCATAATAATATATTATTTTTAATAACAGAGACTGAATTACGGGATATGGTGAAAGAAGTGGACCAGGACGGCAATGGTACGATCGAGTTCAATGAATTTCTCCAAATGATGTCCAAAAAGATGCGCGGTACTGATGGAGAAGACGAGCTTAGAGAGGCATTCAGGTGAGCCATTATAGTGGTAATGAAATCATTCCTCAGTTGAAATCATAATAACATATCTTTGAATAAACAAGGATTTCTGCGTAAATAGTAGAACGACTATTTTCCCATACACCGGTATGGGACTGGATACGTTTTTATGACATTTATCAAAAAAGTTGATGGCATAGGAACATGAAGAAGTTGGACCTGTCAAATGATCGTCTTACCGAAATGTATGGCGCCTCAAGATTAGGAAAGTCCCCGCGTAACGGGAAGAGTCGAGGACAAAGAAGAAGATCAAACAAGTTGATGGCACACATGATTAAAGTGCAACCATCGGCTATATCAACTTTGGTGGTCTAGCGGTTTAGCATACTGCTTTACTTCCTATGTTCACGGGTTATATTCTTCGCGGTGTAAACATCTGTATATATGAGCATAAAAAGATCAGGCCTCTGTAGACTATAATTTCACTACAAAATCCAAAATCGAAACGCTTCTTACTAAGCAAGCTTCTTGGTGGCCGAAATGGTTTAGAGACCTCTATCTTCTACCTACGCCTGCAATGTTATAAGAAGTATATCCTGGTGTCAATCCTAATATACTTTGGAACATTTTCCTAATCAGGAATTTTTCTGTTTTTCTTCCTGTTTAAGTTTTTTTTTCATTGACCTTATGAGATCCTCGTTTCCTTAGTCGCGTATGACTACGTATTATTGCTCTAAATTATGCCTACCTTCTATATTTCCAGGGTATTCGACAAGAACAACGACGGTCTAATCTCTTCGGACGAGCTGCGTCATGTGATGACGAATCTTGGCGAGCGGCTCAGCGAGGAGGAAGTGGATGACATGATCCGCGAAGCTGATCTTGATGGCGACGGCATGGTCAACTACGATGGTTAGTTTTTGTCGTTTAGCTGGCTTAAAATGTAAGGCGCTTATACCTTCCAGTAGGCTTCTCCTTTTAGCTTCATTAGGTTAATGGAAAAATACGAGTACGTATCTTCCAACACATATTAAAATATGCTTGTGCAAGTTTAAACTTTCTTAAAAGAATCGCATCCTGCGTCTACTATTAGTTATATCTCTCTAGAAATGTTCCAATCGTACTGACTATGTACTATATACTATAGTCTACTATCAAGACCATCGTTTTGTGTGTAGTAAATTCAGACGGTTCGAATCCATATCCTAATATACGTTTAGGACTATTATTTGATATGGGATTATTAAATGCATTAACAATTATTATATATTTTATACTGAACCGAAATCCATCTATGGGATCAATTTGGCTTATTATTCGTGTTTCTATATATAGATATAATATATAATCCATAACATATAAATTGACTAACAGTATTCTTTAGTCAGCCAAATTCAAATTTGAACGACCCTAAGCCGCTTAAGTAAATTACTAGACTACGAAACAGACATTAAATCTAAATATTTTAATTTACAGAGTTCGTGACAATATTGACGTCGAAAAACTAGTATGCAGAGCAAAGGCCGAAGAGAGATCCTCCCCCATCTCGCCAGTGTCCTAACGAGGATTTGTACAAGTTTGGAGGGAAAGAAACTCTTATATAATCTATAACGGCACGAAAAACAGTTCAATACTGAACGAACACTATTTAAAATAACGCTATTCAAATAACGGTTAATAACCGTTGTGTTTAAAAAAGCGCTTGGTGGCAGTGTATACGTACATATGTGTCTAGATGTTTATACGTTGAGTTGCTTCAATTATAAATATAATTAAATGTTCAGTTAATAGGACATCAAAAGAAACTGAAACAATGGAACTGATTTCAATAGATCATTCTCTAAAGTAAAACGCGCTTATTTTAGAGATGGAAATAGCGAAAGACTTTTAGCTATTGTGATATCAATTTAAAAATACTATTACCTATAAAAATCATTGAAATTTGTATGTTTATATAACTTTAGAGGATGTCATATGGATTGGTCTTGCATGTTTAGACAATAGATTTTAGAGGTCAACGGTAAATTAATGTTTCCATACACAATATTCTATATGGACCCATTGTAACATAAACCATTCGGTTATAATGTTTTACTATTTCGTTTATAATCAAAATAATTATAGTGCAGTAATATGAAATGAGCGCTTTAGTTACTCGATATTGTACCGTTTTTAGAGCTTAAACGTTATAATTCAAATCACTTAAAATTTATTTTTTATTTGAAAAAAGCAACACATTTATAACGTTATGTTAACGCTTTTCGTAGTACTTTTATATATAATATTACGTGTAGACTACTATATAATAATTGCATTGGTTAAAACTTTTCTAAAGCACGGAAGGCAGGGTCGTCTGCAATCTCCGATAGTTTCAAACATACAATATGATTTGTCATGGGCAGTAGAAATAATTGTTATACTTACATGTATTAAGGGTCCTCACATCTGCCTAATTATGTATTAGAAACTAGTTTTTTTTATATAGAAACTAGAAAACGGTTTTCAGCTTTTTAACGTTGGCAAATGGTGACGGACCCTGAGTACAGATACTATACCTTTTTCAGTATAATTTTAATAAAGTAGTCATCTAAGTTAAAATCTAGATGTTAGTATTACACAACAATAAGATTATTGCCTCAAATGAGTCTTTTTACACACTTAACAATAAACTGTATTAACTGAAATGAATTCAGTTTTTGTAAAAACGACTTTGAAGTTGTACTTTAAAGTTGGATTTGCAAAATTTAAAGTTTTAGAGTTAATGCGTTTTACTACTGAGTGTGTTATCAGTTGAGGTCCATTTGTATTTGTAATAAAATTTGTGAAATAAATTAAAATCGAATTTCAAAATGATACTTAGATTTTTATACTCATTACAACTATTGCTGAGAATGTGAAATATTCATAATTTGAGTTAGAAACCATTATCCATTTTAGTAATAAAATAGAGACATAATAATCATTCAAAAACCTAATTATACTTGTACTTACTAACAATGTTACCAAAATTAATATTAACAAAAATTTGGTTGTGTCAACATTTTTATAACAATTGATAAAAGATGTATAATTCTATCTATATAAAATTCTAGCATGCAAGTAGGTACGTATACACGATTGTGTAGAGTTAGAAAGAGAAATGTGTGCGAATTGTCATAATGAATGGTTTTCGTTAGTCTTCCAAGTTGCGAAGGTTGACTGAAAAAGACGAGCCAAAAGTTAAACAGAGTTCATTAATGTTACGTGGAATCGAAAAAAAAATATTTATAAAAAGTTAAGTCGAGAAAAAATTTTTAATTGTAAGGTAATTTTATTAAAAAAAAAAAGATGGCGGCGTTTTACCAAAATTTATTATAAGCACACGAAAAGGGTACTTTTATTGTAACAAATTTAATTACTTAGACATTTCTATATTTACTATTCTCTTCAAGTAAGAAATTTTAAATTTTTATTATATAGAGCATTTTTATCTGATGATTATTTTGTTTTTACTAATTTAATAAAAGAATTTACAGTTATCCATTTTTATATTACATAATAATATTTCTTTATATGGTTTTAATTTATTTTTTACAATTAATTTAACTATCAATTATATTATTATTATTAATATATTCTTCATTATTCTTTGTCTATTATATATTAAAAAAAACTGCTGGTACGTAGTTTGTTTAAATGTGGTTATTTTGCTGTAAAAATTGCTGAAACATTTATAAATGGTTTCATGTTTGATGAGCTTCCTCTCGGTTGATTTACTAAATGTATTTTCATATAAGCATTATGATATTCCCATTACCACACCCTCATTCTCATATCGTGACGTCATCGCATTAATTGCTCACGAAACAAAAAAAAAATAGTTGTATTGACAAAAAAAGACAATAAAAAATATTTATTAAAGAGTATATATTACATTCTATAAAATTATTTACTGTAATAATTTAATTATCAGTGATAGGAACAATCACATATCAGATAGATAAGATAATTATGAATTTGTGTAAGAGCGGGCTCACATTATCAGATTCAAAACGGACGGCCTAATAAGGCGGGACGTAGCAACCAACCGTCCGGTCTGAACCTGATAATGTGAGCCAATTCTAACGGTCGAATAGGTTCAGTGGCGGGTCAAATATTTTTATAACACTACTAAATTCTCTCGGTTAAGAACCATTAATATTATATATATAATTTGACGGGCTCGGGGGTCTAGCGGTTTACTTCCGACAGTCGCGGGTTCGATTCCTAGCACGGTGCAAACATTTATATTTATGAGTATGAATGTTTGTATCAGTCTGGGTGTTTTCTTTATATATTATGAATGTATTTATATCAGTTGTCCAGTACCTACAACACAAGCTCTGCTTAGCTTGGGATTGCGTTACGAAATCTATGACGTGTGAAATTATGAAATTACTGAACCGACGACCAAATATGTATCTCAAAATTTACTTTTAGTAAAATTTAACACTTATTGTTACAAATAAATTAATTATATCTATACATATATTAAAAATTTTACTGATGGCTGTCTGTACATTGTAGATATAAGCAAAACTATTATCTGGGAACTTCATCAAAGTAATAGAACCCAAAAAAAATGTTATTAGAATTTCTGTCCGTTACAAAAGTTTGGTTGCAACTTTCACTTAAAATATGTGTTCTTTAATTCCTATCGATTTAAAAAATATATATGTACTGGTACAGAGTCGCGGGTTCAGCTTATTTTATACAAAAACGGTAAAAAATTGTTAATAATTTTATATTGTTACTTTTTTCTGTTATAATTATTAATGTTTACTAAAGTTTAATGATTTATGTCATCGAAATATTTAATTCTTACTATTACATACGAAAAGGCGTTCTGACTTTACCTCTCATTACATTTGTGGTAATTTAATGTATTTATATTTATTATTTAAGAGATAATATAAATTGTTATATGAAATGAAATATCAGAAATAAATATATGTAAAGTTTGTTAATTATTTATCTAACATGTTATTTTATGTAATAAGTTACTTTGTTATCTAATAGTTAGGGTAAAAATTACCTTACCTTACAAATATAAATTAAAAGATCATCTACATTCATTAACAAGAAATCATCACTTTATTAAACTTATTTTATTCAAGTCCTTTTTGCAACTGCTGGATGTATTACGAAATAATACGTACAAATAAAACAATAGAAGTTGTTATAAATATAATTCAATATCATTTTATTTTTACAATTTAAATCATTAATCTGTCAATTTTTACATCACAAATATATTAATGAAATAAATTAATATATTTGTGATGTAAAAATTGACAGATCAACGATGGTCTAGCGGTTTGATCACGGATTCGATTCTTACACAAAACTTTGATATTCGCGATTATGATTGTTTGTATTGGTCCGAGTATTTTCTAATATAGTGTAGGTATTTACAAACAAATGTATTTGTGTATTTCTATTAGTTGTTTATTACTTATTAAATATTTGTTTTGCGTCCTTGTATGGATTCGGGATCATCATTCTATTTAAATACAATCTCAAATAGGTTTCTGCAGTTATTGAATAATAATGTTTTTGAAATAAATATAGGAATAACAAATCTACATTAACAAATACATTTAAATTGAATATCAAGGTATATAAGCTTGTTAACGAATACTACCATTATCTGTAATATAAGAGACAAAATAATCTGTTTTTTAAAAGTCGACGAACATAATTATCTATGCATTTCTAATAACGCCTGTGTTAATGGACTCGGCAATTATGTATTTTGACAAAATATAGCTGTAGAATCAAAGAGGATTTTGGAAAGTTAATTCATTCAACAGAAATATACCTATGAATACCCATCTTTGTAAAGCTGTAAACTTAATAAAACATGAAATTGTCATAATAATAACCCAGGACAGGTCACGTAGTGCCATCTAGTCCCTAACTAAGCAGAGCTTGTTATTAGTACTAGATAACTGATAAAAATACATAAATGCTGTTTTTGTATTACATACGAATGCAGAATATTAAGAAAACCCCCGGAATAATACAAACACTTATACATATAAATCTACGTGTTTGCATTGTGCCAGAAGGAGAACCCGCGACCATCAGAAATAACGCCGCTTATTAAACCGCTAGACCACAGCTGTATAGAAGAATCAATGGACAATATAAATAGAAGTTTTAAATTTCAACTTTGTTTCTTGAACTTTTTTTGTACCAATCTTTTGTCATGGTATTACGACTAGTCCTATACAAATAGGTTAACAGTAATAACATTCGCTTATCAATCATCCTAAAATAATTTTAATTCGTTACGAAATCGATTAACATAATCGTTAACTCTTAATCGATAACTATCATTCGCATTCAGCAGATGTCGCAAAAACATTCGATTTTCACCTTTAATTACTTTGCAATATGAGTTAATGTGGTGATCTCTGTGTAGTCTAGAGTGTTTGATGTGTATAGGGTTGCCAATTAAAATATTTAGATATAATTACGATATTTTACGGTAGTTACGGTAAATTGTGCCTAGCCCGCCTTGTAATAAAATATATAAGAACTGATCGTGTGGTAATCATTTTTGATTGCTGTTAATGGTTGAAAAAAATGAAATATGGCTATTTAATGTTAAAATCAGTCTTGTCGTCCTTAAGTATTTTAATATTTATTTGCTGAACATAGCTTTCAGTACATTTAAATATAACTATCTTTTATTCTGTCATATCGTACACGTAGTACATTACTGGATTACATAAAAATAAATCATTTTTTGTAAATTACACACTAAGGTTCTAGCTTTAAAGTCTATTTTCATCTATTTTAGGGTTAATCCACAGCTATATTAAGCTGTTCAAGGGAAACGTTGGAGTCGTAACAACAACTAAAGAATTTGATGGAAAATCATGAAAAATGACAAGCGCTTCAGAACCTTAAGAGCGCGGCTCTTAAATCTTATGAATGAATGATATCCAGTATTGTAGTAGGTGTACGATGTTTTCTTTTCAAACAATATTCACTTTTAACAGAGTTAATAGTTAAACTTTGTGCAAAGTCATCTTCATGTATAGGTACTATCAACAACAGCGAAGCCTGGTCCTTTAATAGAATAGTCGCTTGAATGCGTCATCATGATCAGATCCTGTATTTATTTGATCAATAGAACAATACTTTGTTGTTAGGGATAAGGTTCAAGCATTATGACTTTCGCTGTAACTCATGATCGACCAGATGGCCAGATGGTAAGACCCAAAATTTAAACGTTTGGTGTCATTCAAAACAATATGGTTAATAAAGTCACACTGACAAAAAAAATCGACAAATCATTTGTTGTAATTTACTGTTGTGTTGGTATTCAGAAAAAGGTTCAATAATGTGTTCAGTTGAAGTGGTTTGTTGATGCTATCCGACCGAGGATTTTTTAAATTATCCTTAAGGGAGTCGGGCGTCGCTGTTGTACCTCTGTTCCACCTATTTCAGCCACGAAGCAGCTTCTGCGTAAGCAGTTTCGGTTGAAGAGTGACTAATAGTGGTGAAATTACAGGACACGTAGGCATAACATGTTGTTATCCAGAGTGATAACACGT